ACCCTCTGTGTGAGCACTGAAGAGACTGGAGCCAACTGGGCTGGTTGGGAATGCCAAGCAAGTGGTGGGAGATGGGGCTGCTTCTCTTCTTCCTGCCCTCACACTCCCTTTGGATTCATGGAAACTTTTGGGGAACACATGAATTAGGCAACACTGAACACTATAGCTCTGGAATCACAGGCAAAGATCTGAGGTTACTCATTCAAATGCTTGTATCTAATCCTCTTCCCTAACTAAGACCTCTTCATTAGTGTGCCATCCAGCACAGGCAGAAACCTGTGCCTAAGCTAAGCACACCCATTAACACCGTGTCACCACCTCCACAGGATGAAAGAACAAAACTGTCAGCCCAAAGAAAGGTGAAAAATGCTTCTCCAAAGGAAAAAAAAACCACAAGTTGCTCCTCTGGTACAATCAAGTGGACAGATTTAGCCAACTAAAAACATGCAAAGCACGAGGTGTTTGTAGAATTTAACCTATCCAGGTGACACCACCTCTCTTCTAAGTTGCTGCCATGTCTCCTGGGTGTTTTAGTGACAAGCAGTCCAAGTAAAGCACAAAACCCATTGTCTAATGAGACTCTTGACTTTGAGGTTGTGAGATACTACATTTTAAGTCCTGTGCAGGCATCCAAGATAAACACACTCTAGGCCATTCATGGCTGTTCCATGCAGGAAGCTTGGACGGAGTTGAATGAATGACAGCTTAATGGCAACAAAAAGAAATGGAATGCCCTCCTCCTACCCACACTGGGCTTGCTTCCTCAGCTCAAAGGCTCACTGAAGGCAGCTGACAAATTCCCATTAGTCTTTCTGCAGGTTTCCAGATTTTCCTTCTGCTTTGGGCACCACACACATAATATTCTCAGCAGTGTTCTCACTGAAGTCACGGAGCAGTGTGCCACAGCTGAAGACTTGGCTTTGCTGTTTCCTGCACTTGAAGGCCAGCTACAAATAGCAGGTCAGGGGCAATTGTACCGAGATGTGATAATCTGGTCAGAGTAGGCAGCCTCTGTTCTCACCCACTGAAGATAACAGGCCTTACCTCAAAATAAATAACAAGTTAAAAAATAACATAATAATTTTGCTATAAATGTATGGAAGTGCTGCAGGTTTGTTTGCTTGTAGGTTGACATCTAAAATTAGTAATCTCATCTATGGGGTTTCAGATAATATCTGAGGCCTATTTCAAGGCTAACTTCCTGAAAACGAGTTTGTTGAATATTAAGACAGATCCTAGGCAGCTTTTTTAATTCTTAGAAATCTTAACATCTCTGTGCCAGAGGATGGGAAGCAATATCAGACCCTTCATTTCTTCAAAGCATGTGCAGAGCCTCACATGAAAGACACTTTGTCAAACAAACTAACTTAGTCTTTGGCTTTAGGTAACTCCCATTCACCAAAAAAAAAAAAAAAAAAGACACACCCAAAACCAAAATAAAACAAAAAAACAAAATAAAAAACAACAACAACAAAAGATCCAAAACCCAGTGGCTTCAGAGGCAACTGTAGTGAATGCAGGTTTCAGGCCATCATTGTTCAGCAGTATTTTTAAGACAGAGCCAGCTCCTGAGGGACCCTGAATATGAACAACTGACTTCAGCCAGCTCTGTAGGTTCCCAGCTTCTCCCAGGATTTTACCCATAGACAGGAGCACTAGGAATGGCTGCTTTTTTCTAGGATGGCCTAATCCTTGCCTTGAGTATGTGAATGTGTTAGCTTTAGAAAACCCCACTCAAACAGTGTCCTGCAGAGTCCCACAGACCTGGTGGCATTCCACACTGTAACAGAACCCTCCTCTGATTTTAGGCAGGTACAGCTGGGAAGAAGAGATGCCCTTTCCTTTTTATCACTGCACCACCTCAGAGCAGTTTATTTCAGTGCTAACTGACCACTTCCCTTTTTCTTTCTAACCTTTAAAGAGCAGCACACGTTGCTATGCTTTGAAACAAAACTAGAATTTACGAAAGCCCCCAGCACATCACACACCACAGCCCATCCGGGACTTGCGCAACGTTTGGTATGAAGCCAGTGGACATTCAGTGGAAAAAGGCTCAGTGTCCAAAGCAGCATGTGGAGGATTCAGCAAGCAGCTCTCATTAGTGCCAACAGGAACCTGGCTACTAAACCTTCACACCTCTTGAAAGATGTTTCCTCTGTCTTTAATAGACATTTGCACAAATCTGCTCTGGAGCTGAAACCAAGCAGGCAGAAGTTTTAGCTGGGGAAAAAAATAGTCTCAGCCATTAAAAAGCTGGCCCTGTTCCAGTACAGAGAGCATCTGGCCTCCAGCTGTGTTTAGAGGACAGCAGGCCTAAGGAATAGATCAGGGGAAAATCAGAGAAACAAGTAGACAGTGCTGAAATTTATAATGAAAAGAATGCCAGCTTTCCCCTGGGATGTCCAAAACCTTTGCCCTCCTACATTCCCCATCCTTTTCTCTTCTCAACTCTTTAACCAGTTATTGGAAAATCAACTATTCAGGACAACACAGATACCACTTCTGGGCTTGGGAAAGAATCCAGCAGGGCTCTAGAATAAAAAAACTGGGAAGTGTGGAAACTGGCAGCACGTGAAGCAAAGTGGGAATGGGAGGAAATTCTGGAAACTAAGGGAGGACCATGTAGGGATATAAGGAAAGATCTGCCATGAGGCAGGGACAGGATGTCTGCAAGTCCTCAAATATTACAGCAGTGGATTAGTATAAAAATGACAGATGGAAAGGCACCTTCACTTATTACAGGATGGAAAATTATGATTAAAAAAGAAAATCCTAAGTTTTTCTAAGGATGTTGTACTTTTTTTCCATTTTACCAAGATTGGTGGCAATATTTGGCCTCAAAATTTGTAAATTATTGCAACTATGCAAAGACTAAAGGAAGAGAAAGCTTTTTATTTTCTAAGATGATAACACCATGTCTCAAAAAAATGCTAATAAAATGCTCTGTTGGAAAGAGCCTTATCTGATAGGGATGGTATTCATGGGCACCCACTGAAACTCACATTGCTTTTTAGATTAATTTGACAAGAGCCCTTCCCCCCCAGCCCCAGATGGAATGAAGAATCCATGCATGAAGCCACATATATAATAAAGGCTGGAGATTATGAAACAGGCTAGAAGACACGATCAGAATTGCAATTGATGTTGATGAAGTGGGGAAATTGCCCTGATTAGAGCAGAACAAATTTAATAAAGAGAAATGGAAAGTGTTACACTTTGAAAGGTGTAGTAAATAAATGCACAAATAAAGACGGAACTCCAGGGAAGGAAACAATTAATCCCTCAGGAATTTTAAGACAGACTAGATCAAAGTCAGCCATGGGATGTTCTTGTAGAAAATATCTGAGGATATATTTTCTGATATGCTTTACATAAAAAAGCAATAACAACAACAACAACAGCAACAGTTTCTCTGCTTTTCTTATTCATGTATACAACTCCTGCAAAGTATGGAAATTTGGGGAAAACGGGAAGCCATGAGGGAAATGACAGCAAAAATCCTAGAAAACACTAACAAAGGAACTAGAACAGACTATACTAGTAATGCAAGGAGGATAATTCCTTTCATACATAGAATAACTTCCTAAAAAGATCTTGTAAGATCATCTGTTTTCAATCAGGACTTGAAGGAAAAGTGGCTTGATTTGCAATGAAGGAATTCTGAAGTCTCAGGAAAACCTGATTATGAGAGTAGTGAAGATCATGGATCCCTGTGACTGTGTTTTTGAAGAGCCTGCAAGCTGCACATTGTCTGGCATGGTTCAGCTGGACCTCACCCAGCCTCACATCAGAAGAGGCAGACTAAAATCACCATTTTCAAACTCTGGTTTGTGGATCCACAAAGGTTTGCTGGCTGCTTCCAGCAGAAATGAATGCCAGGTTTACACAGGCTGGCTTTTCTGCTGGCAAAAGTCCTGGGGACCACTGGTCAAAAAAGAATTGAAAGCTATGACTCTTTTTTCTTGAGGTTTCCTTCAGCTATACATCTGTGATGTTTGGACTACCAGCATTTCCAAGGGCAAAAGTTATTCCTGTGTAAGTCCTGAGCTGCAGTCCCTTCCTGTAACAGCTCAGGGTGTCCAGACACAGTGACCACCCCATGTACAGCCACCAAAGGCCCTATTAAGCCCTTTACTGCTGGAAGAAACCTAGTGAACCTTACCACAGATACTCAGAAGGACTAGCATGGAGCTACCAGTGTTTCCCTCCCATTTAATTTACTGATTATTGTTTGAAAAACTTAGCTATTTTAAACCATGAGGCTGCAGGGTGAGGCCTGCTCTTAGCTAGTAACTTTTGTCATAGAAGGATGTGTTTCCACAGATGTGAAGGCACACCAAGCAACAACAAGCACCCCTGTGTGTTGCCCTTGTATTAACTATGGTCTTGCTTCTCTATGATCACAACATTCGCAGAAGAGTAGCCATTACTTTAAAGTTCCAGACAACATCTTGTGTGAATACCTACTGTGCAGAAAACAAGATCTAATTGACTGACAAGCTGTGTCTCTGCAACATCAGTGGCAGTTCAGACATTTTGTCATTTGTTGCAGAAACTGCAGACACTTTAGAAGACCAAGCACAAAGGAGGATTTACACACCTCAATGTGTAAATAAAACAGCTTCCTACTCTGTTGATAGCTAAAGCCAAAACTGTGTTCTCTGAGCACATCAAAAGCTGGAAGTGGGAAGGGCACCTGATGTAGATGTTTCAACAAAAGAGGTTAACATGCAAACTTCTAAATTTCCTAGAATGGCACTCTAGAAAATAAATATATTAATGTCACTTTGCCATGGAGAAGGCAACATCTTTGCCTATTTTCTTACTGTGGTTTTCAGAGAGAGGGCATCCAGAATGCTGCGGCACGTAGCAGATCTGTCTTGCTAATAATATGCTGCAAAATAAACAAAGCTTTGACATTTAAATCACACCCCCCCATCCCACCCCAGCCCCACATTTGTAGATTACCTATACATTCTCAGGATACAGTGAGAAATCATTCTATAGTACATATTTAATTATGATTTTAAAAAGTCTAACTCAGACACAATCTCTGGCCAGTAGCAAAATATCCACACATCACTAAAGTGAAGATCTGTTATTATCTCTCCACTGCAACAAACGGAAATCAGCACCTCGAGAAGGAGCTCCAGGGGGATCGTATCGCAGCCAATCGCACCAGATAAAAAAATAAGCTAATTTCACAAATGAAGTTTGACAAGAAGTAACATTGCATTTGTCTTGGCGAAACGAAGCACAACATTTCACAGGTACAGTTACCATGCAAACGCATGTTTGTTGAGTCTGTCGTTGATTTCAACCCCAAATCACGAGTAGCATGCAGTTCTCCTGCCCCCCCCAACTACTGTATTAGAGACAGTCTGGGTAATGTGTCTCTTTGGTGTAACCATAGCCTCTCAGGCAAGATTATACCACCCTAGGAAAGAATACAAGCAAAACTTGACCATATGTGTGTTTACACAATGTACATTTTACCATTTAAAAAACCAAAACATGTTACATAGATTCTCAAACACAACTCTGTTGAAAATGAAATTTTAAGCTTAAGAAATAGGTTTTAAACAACAAGGCCACCCCATTATTTTTTATGAACAGTTTAAAAAGTTCCCACCCCTAAAAATCTGCCAGTATATTTCCTCAACAGTCTTACCCACTCTCTAATACAGCTGATCTTTGCTGGACAGCAATAACAGTTCTTACATTTCTTAAATGCACGAGATAATGGACTCTGGGATAGATATAGTTCTTAACTGTGTAACACTGGAACAAATCTGACTTAAATGATTAATTGGTAAATTCAGGTGTTCCCCAGCACTACCCTTCAGGCAGGGACTTCTGCTGTTCACTGGTGTGACTTCTGGCTTTTGTTGGCATCAAGCTCCACGAACAGGCTCGTGTTCAGAATGTGAGTACAAGAGCAATTCACCAGATACTCTGGTACCCAGCTTGCTCAAAACCAGGGAGGAACTTTGTTTTTTGTATTCTCTCATCCAGGTGGGGATGCAGCCCCAGTGCAGCACCTTTGGCCGAAACAGAACTATTTGGATGCGATGTAGAATTTTTTACATTTTCTTTTTTTGTAGTCATTTAAGCAACTGCAACAGCAGACTTAACTTGCAGGGTCCTTGATTAGAGGGTTACCATCTTCCTCGGCTTTACACAACGGAGCCCTTTGAAGAAGACAAATGAATTGACTGAATCCTTGTGGCCAACGTCCTCTGTAAGTCCTCTAGTACATTCTGACCAGATGTTTCTCCATTCTTGTCATACAACAACTGCTTGAAAGCTTCGTTTTCAATGAGGACCATCATATTTTTTAGAAAGTAGCCTTCACAATAGGCAGATAGTTCTGTGACGCCGAGGAACTACAAGAAGTGAAATTAGAGAAAGATAACCATTCGGATAAAACTCAGGCTGCAAACACAGTGCATAAGAGCTGCGCACAAACAAATACACAAGCTAAGCCCTTTAGACAGACACAGTCTAGAATGCGCTTACTTACAGTTACGCATGTGTGGAGAGGAAGGAGTTAATAAAACAGTATTTTATGCTGATGATTCTCACAGTAATTCCATGTTAAAAGACCCTGGCTGTTGGGGAAACCAAATTCCACAGGCTGGCGCTTTT